AGAAGAAGAAGAAGAAGAAGAAGAAGAAGAAGAAGAAGAAGAAGAAGAAGAAGAAGAAGAAGAAGAAGAAGAAGAAGAAGAAGAGATTGCATTTATACCCCGCCGTTCACTACCCAAGGGAGTCTCAGAGCGGCTTACAAACTCCTTTCCCTTCCCCTCCCCACAACAGATACCCTTTGAGGTAGGAGGGACTGAGAGAGCTCTGACAGAAACTGCTCTTTTTCAAGAACAGCTCTGCCAGAACTATGGCTTTCCCAAGGTCATCCAGCAGGTGTAAGTGGAGGAGTGGGGAATCAAACCCTGTTCTCCCAGATTAGAGTCCGTGCACTTAACCACTACACCAAACTGGCTCTCCATAGGGATCACCAATGGAAACAGAGGTACATCAAACATCCCAAATGAACTTAATTTCCCGAGATGACCTGGGTGAACCCATGGAGGACACACAACCCCCTTCAGAACATCATCATTCACAAGCTGGCCAAGGAACAAACCGGACCCCCTTGGACTCCAAAAGACAACTGACACATAAGTACTTGGCAAATCCTCTATAGGATTATCTTTTTGACTCCTTTGGGAACCTCCCTTGCAATGAGCAACAATCAATTATTGATAGACTGGATTTTATGTGCCATAAACTGAGTGAAATTAAAGACTCAGAGATACAGCAAGTTGATGGGTCCAAAGCCCATAAAAACCTGAGTGTTACAGCAGACCTCCTAGAACCAAGCTCTTCAGTGGATGCTGAACGACAATTACAAAGGAGGAGCATCCAAAATATATTGTCCCAGAGCTCCAATCATCTTCAAAATACCAAAAATGGTTCTCATGGTAACCTCTTAATAGAGCACCCTCTGAATGAATTAATTGGATTACCTCATCAGAAGTCCTCAATGACCCCACCAGCTAGTCCTCCATCTAAAGTTGGGACAAATGGCTGTATTTGCTCTGAACATAACAAATCTCTCAACCTAATATCTGAACAACATTGACTATTTTTTATTCCTTCTCTGTCCTAGCGGTTCCAAAGAGTATGAAACGGGAAAGCTGAGCAGTGAGCAGTTGAATGAATTAATTGGATTACCTCATCAGAAGTCCTCAATGACCCCACCAGCTAGTCCTCCATCTAAAGTTGGGACAAATGGCTGTATTTGCTCTGAACATAACAAATCTCTCAACCTAATATCTGAACAACATTGACTATTTTTTATTCCTTCTCTGTCCTAGCGGTTCCAAAGAGTATGAAACGGGAAAGCTGAGCCTCATTAAGCAGGACCACAATAGGCTGGGCCAGTTTGGCACAGTAACCATCCAAGCTATGCACAGATTGCAGGGAAATGGTTGCAACAACAGATTGGATCCCAGCAAAATTTGATGAATGATGTCAATGCAGAACAGGATTATACAAACGTCACAAACCAAATAGCTCCACTTCACATTGACAACTGATGCAACTGATGCAACTGAAGCCTGCCTGCCGCAAGGAGGAGTAATGGCATAGACATGGCCTTAAAGAAGAAGAATAAGAGGTTGGATTTATACCGCGCCCCTCACTACCTGAAGGAGTCTCAGAACATCTTACAATCTCCTTTCCTTTCCCCTCCCCACAACAGACACCTTGTGAGGTAGGTGGGACTGAGAGAGCTCTTTCAAGAACTGCTCCTGTGTGAACAGCTCTGAAAGAACTTGTGACCAATGTTCCCTCTAAGCTGAGTTGATGTGAGCTGGGTCATTGTTTTTTAGCCTCCGGCTCACACATTTTTGTCTTAGCTCAGGAAGGATGGCTCCAGAGTGAACTGATTTATGCAGGAGCCAAATCGCTCGCTCACAACTTTAATGCCAGTAGAATTTTTGCTCACAAGACGCCACAACTTAGAGGGAGCATTGCTTGTCACCCAAGGTCACACCAGCAGCTGCATGTGGAGGAATGGGGAATCAAACCCAGTTCTCCCAGATTAGAGTCCATGCTCCTTACCACTACACCAAACCTGCCTGTGATTCAGCATAAGAAATTTTACATTGCATATAATAAAATGTTATATGCCAGTTTGGTGTAGTGGTTTGGAGCACTAACTCTAATCTGGGAGAACCAGGTTTGAGTCCTCACTCCTCCACTTGTACCTGCTGGATGACCTTGGGCAAGCCTTAGTTCTGTCAGAGCTGTTCTTGAAAGAGCAGGTCTCGAAAGAGCTCTCTCAGCCCCACCTACCTCACAGGGTGTCTGTTGTGGGGAGGGGAAGGGGAAGGAGTGTGTAAGCCACTCTGAGACTCTGAGTGATGGGTGGGGTATAAATCCAATCTCCTCCTCCTCTTCTTTCTCCTCTTCCTCTTCTTCTTCTTTTATACAGTGGGCTCATGTAACTAAATGCACATCTATATAACACACCATCTTACAACCCACAGGTTTTGAGCACAAAAGAGACATTAATAAACTACTGAGCATACCACTCACTGCTGTGAAGCTCCGGGACATCCAGCCCATTAGCTTCAGCTAGGAACTGGCTTCAGCAAAGAAAAAGTAAATATCACTGAAATGTGGATGTGAAAAGCAAAATGACCCGGAGATATAACGAAGAACTGGTTTATCTGAAAAGAATGTTTCAGTACATTAATTCCCTTCCCCGCCCCAACTGCAAGCGAAGATTTGGAACACACACACACAGCGAGTGAAAAAGCTTGACTAACTTAGAAATGTTACCATTCCAAGGTAAGAATTTAATGGATTGTACGTTCTCGACACAGAGCAGTCCCTTGAAGCCATTGCAGAATGTTAAAAAAAATATAATCACATGCCATGACGAATGTGAAGGAATTGATTACTGCAAGTCCAACAGACAACTTCTCTAATTGTAAAAAATAATAATAATAATAAGAGTAGATTTTTGCTGGGTTCTGGAAGAATTCAGATCCCTCTCTACTTGATTGTCTCTCTCTGCTTCCACCCCCCAAAGTCCTTTCCCACATCCAAGGGGCATAAAAAGAAGAAGCAGGGATTCCTCTCATTTGCACTGAGGTGTGGAAAAAGTAAGAATCGGGGTGAGACAGTGATATATTCTCAAAACAGACGGGGTTGCCAACCTCCAGGTGGGGCTTGGGAGATCTCCTGAAATTATAACTGATCCCCAGACAATGGAGATCAGTTCCCCTGGAGAAAATGGTTGCTTTGGAGGATGGACTGTATGGCCTTATACCCCGCTGAGGTCCCGGTCCTCCCAAATCCCGCCCTCTCCAGGCTCCATCTCTAGATCTGCAGGAATTCACCAACCTGGGGCTGGCAACCCTAGCACTATGACAGCTTGGGGGGGGAAGTCTGTATGACTCCTGAGCACTGCCTGGATACTATTCCTAAAACTGGAATAGATGTATCATAACATTTGTTCCTTTCCTTTCATCCAATAAAAGCTCTATGACGCATAGGGATTCCAACCTCCAGGTGGGACCTGGGGATCCCCTGGAATTACTCATATCCAGAGGGTAGAGATAAGTTCCCCTGGAGAAAATGGATACTTCCGAGGGTGGACCCTGTGGCATCATACCCCACTGAGGTCCCTGTCCTCCCCAGGCTTCAACCCCAAATGTTCAGGAATTTCCCAACCTGGATCTGGCAACCCTACCCCTTTTCCCCTGCCTGCATCATGCTCAGGCTTGTAGAGGAGGCAGACATGAATGTACCATCTAATCTGACATTTGTGAGAATCAAGACAAGAGAAAAGTGGTTTTCGTGAGGCCACACTATGAGTTCATGGCCAAGGCAAGATGAGTACTTCTAGTTTTCTGGGGACTTCAAGCTCTCTGCTTATACTCTTAACCACAGTTATGCATGAACATAAGAACAGCCAGTGTTGGGTCAGACCAACGGCCCATCCAGTCCAACACTCTGTCACACAGTGGCCAAAAATACCAGGTGCCATCAGGAGGTCCAGCAGTGGGGCCAGGACACTAGAAGCCCTCCCACTGTTGACCCCCCCAAGCACCAAGAATACAGAGCATCCCTTGCCCCAGCCTGAGAGTTCCTATCTATACCTTGTGGCTACAAGCCACTGATGGACCTCTGCTCCATATCTTTATCCAATTCCCTCTTGAAGTCATCCTTGCTTGTAGCCGCCGCCACCTCCTGGGGCAGTGAATTCCGTGTGTTAATCCCTCTTTGGGTGAAGAAGTACTTCCTTTTATCTGTTCTAACCCGACTGAGGAAGCTGTCAATAACCTCACTGAGCCTCACAAAAAGTTCTGTATCTCGATGATGACACTGATTATGAATACCAAAGCAAGAGCATTCTGATTCAAAGCTAAAAGAAGACGCCAGGCACAATTAAATGCTAACATGTCAGCCCTTAATCATATTGCTTGGAAACCAGCCCTATTGATTTCCGTGGAACTCAATGTTCAAGTCAAATGCACTTAAAATTTATTCAGTCTGAGGGCCAATTTAGTCAGCCAGTGGCCCCCACAGGAAGGTTTCTGACACAAGCTGGCAGGCTGATGGGGAGGGACAGAGGCACTGATTGTAGGAATGAGCAGTTCCACATGGAGGTTGTTAAGTGCCCTTGCTTAAATTCTTAAGTAGGGGTGTGCATGTCTGAAGTTACTCCCACATCAAAGCCTCCCTCACCCAGGGAAGCTAGCATGTTATCAAGAACGGCTGCAGTCTCCCTGACGCAACAGCATTTAAGATAAAATATTAGCCTTTTTTCATTGCTACCTTTATACAGTACAGAGAAAAGGGAGGTCCTAGATCTCTGTCAAATAACCCAATTAGTATGAAAATTTCCCACTTCTCTTTCTTCCCACATTCAAGCAAACATACCCAATGGCAATGATATTTACCTGTCTCAACATCTGTTAAGTGAAGCATTGAATCGAAGCCCCCGCTGAGAATACCACTTCCAGAAGGGGACCAGCGGGCGTCTCGAACGGCACTGGAGTGGCAAGAATATGTCTTTAAGCAACAGCCTCGGTCCACAGCATCCCAAACCTTAAAGGGAAACAGGATGACATTTTAAAAATATGAATTAATCTCAACGATTTAGGATCAATGGGGAGCACAAGTGACCCCTGAAGGACCCCTTAAAATGTCCTTTCTGACCAAAATCAGAAAGCAAGTAATTTGCGAATAACATTCTTAGGGCTGTAGGCTAGAATTAGAGAGTCTCTGGGCTAAACTATATGGTCCTTTCCTCACAGGTCCCTATCCTGTGCACATGCATTTCGAGACAGGGCATATAACTCTCCCTTGCAGAGCCATTTCAGCTTTGGAAAATGGCCTGAAGGGAAGGCAGGAGCGTCTCCTTCCCTCACACTGCAGTCCCAAGCCAAAGCAGCCCCCTGTGGGTTTTTAAAATGCTATTCTCCACAACTGCTATGTGGTTGTGGGGAAAGCAAGTCAAGTCTGAGTTCCCAGATGTGACTTCTTAGAAAATGTAATGTAGCTTGGCCCTGAAATGTTGCCATTCTGCAAAAAACTGGGACTGGCAGTGACGCCCTAGCAGCAGATCTCGGGGAGCAGAAAGGAACATTTAGTAATTTATTAACTTTGTTTATAGCCCACCTTTCTCGCTGAGAGTCAAGGCAGACCACACAATGTAAAACCATGTAATCAAACACCGTAATGCAGCGAATAAACAATGCAATGGGACTAGGATCAGTGTTCCCTCTAAGCTGAGTTAGTGTGAGCTAGCTCACAGTTCTTTAGCCTCCGGCTCACACATCTTTGTCGTAGCTCAGGAAGGATGGCTCCAGAGAAAACTAATTTATGCAGGAGCCAAATCGCTCGCTCACGACTTTAATGCCAGTAGCTCACAAAGTAGAATTTTTGCTCACAAGACTCCGCAGCTTAGAGGGAGCATTGACTACGATCACAAAGTTAGAAAAACAACACAAAGAGGGAAAGGTGTCGGAGTTGATTTATCATAAATAATGCAGGAAACGGAATGGTAAAAGTAGTGCAGTGAGAGCAGGATAAAACACACAATAATTCTTGGAACAGACTGCTATCGTGTTCCTTTTATAAAAGATTCTCCATCTTGAACTATTCTATTATACTACAGCTCTACTCCCTTGTGAAAGGTGGTGCTCCAAAAGGTAGACAGGCATCATATTATGATGGGCTTTTAAAGGTAAATATCAACACTTTAAATGTCCCCAGGAGCATATAAGCAGCAAATGTGGTGGCTAATGGATAATACAGATATGTCCCCTGTGGCCCATCTCTGCCAGAAGAAGAGTCATTGAAGCCTCCATTCTGGATTTAATTGGAAAAAATTAGTTGTAGTAAAAGGGATGTAAACAAGCAGGAAACATCCAATCATAACAAGCAACGGCAAACAGACAATAAAAAGCCAGGTAACAGGACCAATGAAAACAATAACTCACTTCTGTGAGGCCAATTCCTTAAAACAGTCCAATATCAAGTAGGAGAAACTGGATCATTTCAGCCCAGAGTATAGCCGGCCCCACCCTGTGAAGCCTAATGAGAGAATGCCTCGCCACCGTAGCTCCCTCTACTTAGGTCTGTTCCTCTGTCCTCCGGCCGCCAGCTGATAAGAATTCAACTCCCTAATTAACCCTTCTGCCTTGCAAAAAGATTAGGGAGGTTTACAAGGACGATTCTCCCCCATAATAAAATCTCACAGCTGAATATAATGAACATGCAAGGCTAGGTCCTACAACCTCTGTTCCTTACACTGACACACGCCCCACCAGCCCAAACTGGTGAAAGGCAGCTCTGGCCCCTGCCACTATCCCAGAATCCAGGAGCAAACCAAGGTTTATAGAAACCTCACAAAGTATCCACTGTGTTCTCCGGGGGAAGAGTAACCCAGCCCAGGAAAGAACAGGAAAGATGCACATCTCTCCAGACCTAGGCTGGTTCATGACTGCATTGTTATGTACTGAACCACTGTTCCTGGGTTTGCTAAAGCAAAGAAGTAGAACTGTGTTTCATTTCTCAATGATATCACACTGTTCAATGGTCTCTCCCAATGGTCACACACAGAACTTTAAAAGCCACATGGGCAAGACAGAACGTTGCAGAGTGCACAGTGGGCAAAACGGCAGCATTCTCCAGTGCTATATTCTACCACCAACTCATAAGTGGCAGAAGAAGAACCACGGCCAAGCATTGTCCTCCACTAGGGTTGCCAGTCTCCAGGTGGTGGGTGGAAATCTACTGGAATTACAACTGATCTCCAGGTGACAGAGAAAACGACCACTTTGGAAGCTGGACTCCATGACACTGTACTCCATTGAAGTCCCTCACCTCCCCAACCCTCCCTCCTCGAGCTCCACCCCCAAAATCTCCTGGTACTTCCTGGCAACCCTAATCAATCTCAGGCAGCCCAGAAGGATTCAGTCATCAATCAAATACAGATGAATGAGTGCAAAGTTGCACCCCCTTAGTCCGGCTCCAGACACAGATTGCCAGCTGGGACAACCACTGTTGTCTCTGTCCTGAATTCTGATGGGAACGGATCCAGAAAACCCAATTCCATGAGGTGTTCCAGCACTGCCAGCTTGTTCAAAGATCAAGAAAAGGAAATTTTGGGATCAGCCCATAATTATTCAATATAGCCAGATCCAAGCAGGGCTTCTCCTGAGGTGGACAGATGACCACCCCCTTAAGTAGACAAATCCTCACCTCTCTCAGGTAGCTGTCCGCACTCCAGAGATTGACCACAGATGTATATTTAGGGCCTAACACATTTTTCTAGTCAGGAAAGTACAGTATGACAGAACAAAGATATTAAAAGGGCTGGAACACTTTCCCTATGAGGAAAGGTTAAAGCGCTTAGGGCTCTTTAGCTTGGAGAAACGACGACTGAGGGGTGACATGATTGAGGTTTACAAGATTATGCATGGGATAGAGCAGGTAGAGAAAGAGGTACTTTTCTCCCTTTCTCACAATACAAGAACTCGTGGGCACTCCGTGAAATTGCTGAGCGGTCGGGTTAAAACATAAAAGGAAGTACTTCTTCCTTTTCACTACCACAGGAAGTGGTGGTGGCTACAAGCATGGACGGCTTCAAAAGGGAATTAGATAGGCATATGGAGCAGAGGTCCATCAGTGGCTATTAGCCACACGGTAAGTGGTGATTAACCAAAGAGTGATTAACACATGGAATTCACTACCACAGGAAGTGGTGGTGGCTACAAGCATGGACGGCTTCAAAAGGGAATTAGATAGGCATATGGAGCAGAGGTCCATCAGTGGCTATTAGCCACAAGGTATAGATAGGGGCTATGGGGCGAGTGATGCTCTGTCTTCTTGGTGCTTGGGGGGGGCAACAGTGGGAGGGCTTCTAATGTCCTGGCCCCACTGGTGGACCTCCTGATGGCACTGGTATTTCTGGCCACTGTGTGAATACAGAGTGTTGGACTGGATGGGCCTTTGGCCTGATCCAACATTGGCATCTCTCATGTTCTTATGTTCTTAAGGGGTAGATCTTAGATCTCCAAGACTTTTGTCCAGTTCCTTTGACAACAGCAGTTGAAATTCACCCATTAAACTGGGTTAACAACACCTCACCCAGACCTGCACTAACAGGTAGATTTAAAGTAAAAGGGCAGTACCTTACATTCTGAAGTCACAATCTTTCTCCAAGCAGAAAGATATTAAAAGCAATAAATTAATATATGGCAGCCACAATTTCCTGAAAACGCTGGAACCAATCGTGAAAGATTTCGGTCGCTACATTTATCATCCCTGTCTTATTCATACCCAATCGTATTACGTAAATCCCCTAATCTTTTTAGATTTAATTTCATTTAAAAGTGCAATCTGACTTCTGGCGTATTACTTTCACCATTGGGGAATATGGAATTTTTATATATATACACACACATAAAACTGCAGCTGTTTCCATTCAGGGTTTTTTTAATAACACATTTACTTCTACCAGGGCATTTGATTTTCATCCGCCCCCCCCCCCACCCACCCACCCCCGGCAAGTCACAGCGGACTTATGGCAACCCCACGGGGTTTTGAAGGCAAGATGTGTTCAGAGGTCATTTGTCATTAAACTCTGCCAGGTCCAGAGCAGGGTGGCCCAACAGGGGGCGGCTGACCTTCAGGAAGGCCAACTCATCCACCCTGGCCAGGTCCAGGTGGGAGCAGGGCAGGACAGAGGATGTCTCCCAGGTGGGAGAACACCCGCTCACTCTGCATGCTGGTGGGAGGCCAGGAAAGGAGATTGATGGACACGCTCGCAAGGCCTGACCATATGACATTCTTAGGTGGCCCAGTACTCAAGGGGGTCAGAATTGGCGGGCTCAGGGGACTCTGCGAGGTACTCCCTGACCATCACCTTGACAGAATCCTCCGCTGTTGCATGCCTGGTCCCCCCAGCACTGCTGCTGACCTCCCACTTAACAACTGACCATCAGAACTGGGGATTCGTCTGTCTCTCATCAAGCCGTGCACCCTCCTTCCCCTCCTCCATCCTCCCCTCCTCCTCCCGCTCCTCCTCCCCAGCTTCTTCTGCCTGCTGTGGCCTCTGGCCACATCCACGGCTCTGGAACCTACATACCTCTCTGCAGAGATCATGCTTCCACTGAACGAACTGCACATTATGGAGGGCGATGCTGCCCTTGATGCAGGGGCCGCACATGCAAGCCAGCTTGTACTCCCACTCCTCACAGAGAGGATGCAACCTCTCATTGATGCCTGCCTGCAACCTGTCTGCCAAGGCCCTGATCCATGGGAGAACGGGTGTCCCCTGGGGCCCGGCTGCACCGCAGAGTCCAGCGCCCGTTCCAGCACTCAAATGAGGGGGATAACTTGCCCTGGCTGGATGTGTGGGTACAGAGCGTGTCGGTGGTGTCCCTGAACAGATTTAAGACATGATTCATTTGGGAGAGGGTCAGCCAGTCATTGGAGCTGATGCTGAGCTCTTCTTCCTCATGCTGGATGGTCATGGAAGAGATGACATCCTGCCCCACGCTCCTCTGCCTCCACCAAATGTGCAATCACGGCATAGG